ATGGTATAACTAACTTGCATTTTTTTCTTTTCCCTTCTATCCTTTCTCTTTTCCCCTATCTTAGTTTCTTCTTTTTATTGAATAGTTTCCTCCCATTTCACAGTGACTGTTGTATATTTTGAACCTTATGGTTGCACATATGTCACTGTGGTGTGATGTTTTTCAATCCTTCTGGGAAGATACACAGAAGGGGAATACCTGGGTTGAACTTTCAATATTAAAATATCTGAGAGAGGGAAGGGGAATGGGGGGAGAGAAGAGCGATCTGTCATATACAGATATAAATTCCCTATGATGAATCCTATGATGAATGTGATCATTATGTATATTTAAATTGTACCAATAAAATTATTAAAAATAAATAAAATATCTGAATTTCAAGAAAAAACTTTAGAAATAATTTGCATTTACTGCATTCTTGTCCTGGGAAGCTCCTCGGGAAGGCTCTGTGGTGGCGCTGGGACCAGCAAGGACCTGCCCACAGGAGCTCCTTTGCAAACGTGTCTTCATCTTCATTGGTCATCTAAATGTTCACCCTTCTCTATTCACTGAAAAATTTACAATTCCTTTTTTTAGAGAGCTAAATCTCTGTAGTCTTAGAAGGAATGTGTTCCTTCCAAAGCTGGAACAGCAGATGTCCAAGCTTCTGCCCCATCACCCCGGTGCAGTGAGAAACTCAGGCCTCCGGAGAAGGCAATCCGCTAACTCTAATTAGTCATTTCAGAGTGGATGTCTCTGAAACCTAACGCTGAAAACCTTTTTCTGAAAATGTAGGCCACATGTTTATTGCCAAAATTGTACCTATGCCAGCACACGTGGCTGGGGATAAAACTATGAATTCCGCACAGTTTTTCCATTCTTGGTCCCACTTTTTGGAATGGAAAGAGAGTGAAGTTTGTAGCTTGATAAAATTGGAGTCAAATCCTTTCGCTACCTTTTATGAGCTGTTTTCCATAAGATATAGTTTAATCCTTCATTCACTTATTCACCTAAAAGACTGGAGGGGCTTCTCTGTACTGGTTACGGGAACTGAGGAAGGGCCGGCTGTGCGCGAGTACAGAGAGGAACGAAGCACAGACGGCTCCTTCTGCAGTTCGCAGTCAGAGGGCAGAGGGCGCCGTGACCCAATTGGCTCCACTTTTTGCCCTGTTTTTTGTTTCGAAAGGTAAGATACATAAATATATTCCAAAGTTTTTTAGTATGTCTTTGGCCAACATTTCTGTAATATGATACAGTAAAATGGGCTGTTCAGCTCTGGATACTCCTGGGGAACTTTGAAGTCATAAGGGTGCTCAGACCTTCTGTCAGCAGCATGATCTGTGGTGATGCTGTAGGCTTACATTTAGCTTCAATACTTACCTATTATTATTCAGGGTTACTTAAGAAGGGTAAACCTTAGTTTACTCCTGTATGATATCAGGACAATATCATTCACTTTAGTGCAATGTTGATTATAAGATGGAGGATTTGGCCTAGCATGAGGCATTGCACATGAAACCCTCAGCAAACATACTTAATTAGTGTCACTTTCTGTCATTTTATTGGTATGTGCTATGGTGATGCTCAGGCACTTCACACAGAGATTGAGCAAAGCAGGTATTACATATCTTTTTTTTTTTTTTTTAAGAAAAGCTAATGCAAAATGACAGCATTCTCTTCCACAATAAATGTTACAGTTATAATTAAACAATAAAATAGCAGAAAATTTATTCCAAAATTTACCCAGAGAGAAGTAAACTGGTGGCGTATTTATGCATTATCAGCCTGTGATACATATTGGAGAGTTTGGGAATTTTTCTCTTTATGGAAGGATGGGGAGTTTTGGTCTCTTAAAAAATAATTTAGAACTGGGCAAAAGGAGAAAGCCTGTACTCCCAGCACTGAGAAAGGCTGAGGCAGGAGGACTGAAAATTCAAGTCTCACCTGGACAATATAGCAAAATGAAAAAGGATGGGGATGTAACCCAAGTGTTAAGTCACTAGGGCCAATACTGAAAGTCATTAGAATAATCATTGTATGCCCTAATAGATTTTATATGAACTATTACATTTTATACACATAAAATAATTTTATAATAATTATAACATGAGTTTATATGATTATATACATTATAAAATTATATAATTGTAAAATAACAAACATTTGATATCAGTGTATAAAACAACTGTTCCTGACCTTCCCAGTGAGCCCCGGTGAAAAGCATGGAACCTCTAACGTGCACTAGCGCAGCATACTGCCCCAGACCACATGACACAGAGAAGTGCCCTCAGGCTTTGGGAGTACGGAAGTGTGGGTTCAAATCCCCACTGTCTCAGCAGTTCCCATGCTTTCTTTGTGCCTTTGTTTCTGCTGATCCATAAGCCAGAAATGCCTCGTCCCACACCCACAATGCAACTGGCTGACATTAGTCCTTCAAAAGGCTTATCTTGGAGATCACCTGCCTGAAAAGCCATCTAAATCCCCTCAGATCACACGGGTGCACGTCTCTGAGTTCCTAACACATCCGCACACTCCTTGGCATGTATAAAAACATGAGTCATTCTTTTCATATTTAAAATGCAAACTCTTGGTGGCACTGTAAAGCTAAACAGAAGTTGTGACTTACCAAAAATTCCACAATGGATGGGAGTTCACCCAACTTGGCATTTTTATGACAATAATTTATGACTTCCCAAAGATTGGATTATTAACCTTAAGAATCAAGTTTAAAATCATGATGGAAGTTCTAAATCAGTGATCCCTTAAGATTACAATTATTAATAATAAATGACTTCCAACAAACTTCCTTGCTAACACACTTTTGTCAGAGATGTAGCAGAAATTTATACCAATATTTCTTTTTTAAGAGGAGAGTGGGAAATGAGGCTTAGATTGGAATTTGTCTTGACTTGGAGAATGTCATGTCATTGCAAATGTTTTCTCGGAATTTATCATATTCCTGTATCTTAAGTTAAAGTCCTTTCTATAAACTACTCATAGAAAAATATCTAGAACTCCTGGAATCCAAGTGAATGTGGGTAACTCACTTTGGAAATGGCCAGACAGACTTTAGGAAGCTACAAAGTTGAAAAGAAAAACCTCTAACAATACCAGGAATGCTCTGACCATGATCTTTCCACTGGGATGGAAGGAAATCTGTGTTTTCATGTAATGATCCTACAACAGATTACTGTATTTTCCTTTCTAAAAATTCAAATTCTGGAACAAGACCCACAAAAACTTCAGCTTGGGCTATCTATTTATTTGTTTACTTAAAGGGAGAAATCAGAGATAAGTGTTTTTATTACAGTTCCAACAGAATCTGTTTAGTTGCAATGGGAAATTCCTCCAAAGTAAATTGGATTTTACTTGGGAAACAGACTCCAGACAACCAAAAGACAAAAATAGTTTGCTATGAGAAATGAAAATCACAATAAAGCAGGGATTATGGAAAGACAAAGCAAGCCTTTCCTCCTGTTTTACTGAAAAGTTTAGTTATTAAAAACACAGCCTACAAATAAAGACACAATAGTTAGTGAAAAACATAGAATTATGAGTCATGAATCTGTTCTAAGAAAAAGGTGGAATCTTTGATAAAGCCTGAATAAGAATTTAAAATAGCTGTAAGACAATAATGACTGTTATAATTATCAATATTGCTCTAGAAATTCTAACTACTGAAGTACACTAAGGTCTGTGTATATGGTTAATACAAAAAAGATAAAAGAACATTGACGATAACACGATTATCTATAATGAAAACCCAAACAAGTCAACTGAAAAAGCAAATATAAATGTTAGATATACCAGAAATAAAAACTCCATTACAATATAATGGTTTAAAAATGTATTCAATGTCAAAATAATTTTAGAGAAATATATGTGAGTGAATGAAGAAAGCCGTAGCAGAGTATGGTGGTTAAAGCTGTAATCCCTGCACCCTGGGAGGCGGAGGTAGGAGGATGGCAAATTTGAGCCTGTCCTGGGCAACTTAGTAACTTAGCAAGATCTTGTTTCAAAAATAAAAATATGAAAAGGGATAGGGTGTAGGTCAGTGCAAAGGCTCTGGTTTAATCACCAGTACTACAAAAAAAAGAAAAAAGAGAGAGAGCAAAAAGGAGTACCACAAAAGCTTGCTATTAAGTCATAAAATACAGGAAACTAAATGTTTATGCGATCCTGTTTTCTTTTTGAAACTTGACAAACCGGTCTTGCAGGTGAAAAAAATCCAAGGTATCATTTTAAGCTAAGTAATAAAGGGCAGTTTTTCCCACTATGCACAAAATTAAAAGGTCACCGACAACATTTTTTAATGTATTAAACCAAAAGTCTAGCCACGTAAGTCAAACTAAATATAGTCATGAAACAGACTGTAACAGAGGGAAGGATTTAATACATACTCAGGAAATCATCAGGTTTGTCAGCAAACATTAATAAGCAAGAGTATGCATTTTAGTTTCATTCAAAAGTGGCTGCCTTACCCGTAAATCACTAGTAATATTGAATAAATTCACATCCCTATATACATTTAATCTGAAACAAACTACAGCAAGTTCATATGAAAATCTCAGTGGCAGCAGAACGTTTGCCCACTTTGTATTGGGGAAATTGCCGTTTGCTCTTCCTTTTCGTTTCGTGCCTGCCGTCTTAACAGGCACCGTATGTCCAATCTGGTTGTACCACTTGCTGGTACTCACCTTGGGCTGCTTTGATGGAAGATTCTTCTTTTTCTGTGAGCCAAAGAGCCCAACAAGTGAATTCCTTTCATTTCAGAGAGTCTGCATTTTAATTTGCTTCCAGACAGATAACAGAAACTTCACTTCTGTTATTTTTTTAACAAAAGAAATCAGAAAAAACTGAAATAGCAGATGACAGAGAAGAGTTAGGAAGAGTTCTATTTATGTATACAAAGTAATAGTATATGGCTAGCAAAGACAATAATATTTTAAAGAATTTTAAATGATTTAATTCTTTCCAAGAAGTGAGTTATATTATTTTTATTTAGATTTTCTTTTACGGGATATCTTACTTTTTTTAATTTAAAGAGAAAAAAACAGACAAATCAAGAAACAAACAAACTAACAACATGGCAACAACAAAAGCAAAACAACCACAACAAAAAAGTTACATACATTTTTAAAACAAGATGTTAGTAATTTAACAATGTTTGTTATATTGCATATTGTTACCCTCAAAATAGTTGCTCAGGTTACCAGATACAGGAATAAAATAAAAACAGTAAAATGGAACAAAACATTAGATTTCAAAACGAGGATGGAAGGAAATCCTCCATAGATGCCACATTGTACACTGTCATCCTCCAAATAGATGCCCAGACCCCCAGCCCCAGGCCTGCAAACACAAGCATCAAGCTATTCCTTTCACCTCAGTTGCTATCATCATACCTTGAGTTTCTCCAGATCAACCAGTTGCTTACGGGGGGGGGGGGTGGGGGTGGGCAGGTAGAGGGGTGATTTGTCTTGTCTTCTGGCAGCGCACTGGCTGGCTCACAGGAAGGTGCGGTTTGGCTTCTTGATTCTCTTCCCATTCCCCACAGCTGGCCCTGGCTCACTGGAAGGCGTGGTTTGGATATCTTATTTTTGTAGTTTGTTGTTTATTTTTAGAATTATTCACAAGCATGAGAACCAGAAAAGAATGTATTTTATAAAGATGAAGAACAAGATGTTTAGGGATTGGAATATATATTAATAAGTACATAAATAACAAATGTGTACACAATTAGTAATAGCAATAATTTCACTTAAGTATATGAAAAGATAAACACACAGTTTCCCTCAGTGTCTTTGGGGGATAGGTCCCAGAACCCCCAACAGACACCCAAACCCATCGATCTAAGTTCCTTCTACAAGATAGCAAGTATTTGCATATAACCTGCGCTCATCTTCTCATACACTTTGAGACTCTCTGGACTACGTATGATGCCCAATACGGTGTAGATGCTGCATAAGTCATTATGCTGAACTTTTCAGAGGATAGTGACAAGGAAGAGTCTTTACTGTGTAGGCCCTGTACAGATGTAAATTTTTATTTACAACTTTTTTATCTGAGATTGCTGAGTCCACAGGAGCAGAACCTATAGATTTGGAGGAACAACTCTACCATATGACAATCATAAGCACATATATAACAAAACCATTCTAAATTACATCATCCCTACACACAGCCTTCATGAAGAGCAGAGTCCAGACTGCAGTCAGCTTGTAAGACTCCAACCAAAGGCAGCAAATATTCTTTAAAATGTAGGTCCTTAAATGATGAATTTGCAAAGCTTCGGTGTGCACATGAAAAATGACATACATCACAACTACCTTTTCCCAAAAAGGAGATGAGAAAGAAGCATCAGAATTTAACTCCCCCTAGGTACTTTAAAACAAATTGCTGGTGTAAGACCCGTGTGGTTGGTTACATTATGTTCACAAAAATGATCATTGAATGTTTGGCAAATCAGTAAAATATAAAAATTTTACAGATTTGAGTCAAAAAATACTGTACATCTGGATGAATCTCTTTGGAAAATTTTACCAAATAAAATGATCTTCAATGCTTTTCTGAACTGTGGATAGAAAAACGCGTAAATCATTGGATTAAAAGTAGAGTTCAAGTAGCCAAACCAGATCAGTGCTTCACTCAAAGTCTGTGGAATAGTATAGCCCAGGAAAGGACCCAGGACCATGCAGACAAAGAAAGGGCACCAGCACACGAAGAAAACTCCCAGCACGATTCCTAACGTTGTCTCAGCTTTCCATTCTGCGCTTTGTAAAATTCCACTTTTCACTTCAAATCCAGTTTGAAGTGTCTGACTTGCAACTTTAATTGATCGTGCCTGCTCTTTAGCTATGAAATATATTCTACAATAGACACACAACATAACAGAACCAGGTATACAGAAAGAAATCATAAAGGCCACTACTCCCGTTATTTTGCTAAAGAACACAACACAGCCCCCTCTACAGTGAATGTGTTCATAATACACATCTTCTGTTCCTTTGAAGTTTAGCTCCATAAAGATCATTCCAAATGCAAAAACAGCAGGGACACTCCAACTAACGAAGATCATCACAAAAGTGACCAAGATGCTCATCCTGGTTTTGTATCTCAGTGGGTCACACACAGCATAGTAACGGTCAATGGAAATGAAGGACAAGTGGAAAATGGAGGCTGAGCTCAGCATAATATCAGCACTGGTATGGATTTTGCAGAAGATCTCTCCAAAATACCAACAGTGCTCCACAGATCTCACCATGCTGTAAGGCATGGCCAGGCACCCCAGCAGGAAGTCCACAATGGCCAAGGAATGAATGAGCCAGTTAGTGGGGGTGTGAAGCTGCTTGAAGTGTGAGATGGAAATAATCACTAGCAGATTGCCTGCCAGGGTGGTCAGAATGATGAGCACCATTAAGCTGTACAGGGATGCACGGACATCACTGGACTGCTTGCCTTCCACACAGGAAATGTTCATTATATTGTAGCAGACAGGCATCGTTTCCGGAACTACCACCAGCTTATTTTTCCCTTTGTGTGTGGAGTAATCTCTTTCCCAAATCCATATCAGGTTAGCCTTTCTTCTTTTTCTGTTTTCTTTTTATTTGCACATATCTATTTTGGAAACCTAGGAAGGAAAAAAAAAAGAATAAATCATAGTCAATTTTTTTTTGGTAACAGGGATTGAACTCATGACTGTGTACTTGCCAGGCAGGCACTTATGCTGTTGAGCTAAATCCCCAGCCCAATCATAGGCAATTTTTTCAACATGATTCTAAAAATACCAATTACTTCTTGGAGAATAATTATTTTAGAAGGAGCTTTAATTCCTAGGTCAGTTTTGCAGTTCAACAAATTTTTAAACATTTACCTGGAGCTGGGTATAACACAAAAATATAAAATCTAATTATTAAATGAGCTATATATAATATTGCACATTTATAGAGGTGAGGTGATTGTTATCATATGTTTTAATCTATGGAAACAGACTTTGTCCATAAGAAATCAGAATCTAGCAGTGAAGATTACATTCTAAAAAACAAAAAGAGGGCTGGGGATTTAGCTTAGCGGCATAAGCACCTGCCTTGCAAGCAGGCGGTCATGAGTTTGATCCCTGGTACCGATAAAAAGTTAAAAAAAAGAAAAAAAGAAAGTTTAAAATATAATGGTGAAAAATACATAACTTAAATTTGACTCTTATGTAGAATTAATGCTCACTATCTCACTAGCAATGTGTGTGCTTTATTTATTCATTTTTTTTCCAGTACTGGCATTGAAGCCAGAACCTCCTACATGCAAGGCAAGTGGTCTACTGAGCAACATTCCCAACCCTTTAAAAATGTTTATATTTAGACAGTATCTTGCTAAGTTCCTCAAGTTAGTCTCCAATTTACCATTCAGCCTCTGGAATGGCCAGGATTACAGCCATGTGCCGATACATCTGGCTAAAATAGTTCTTATAAATAGTGATGAAAGATGTTTATGATCTTTTATTTCCAGTGCAAAGCATCTTTACAAATATTCCATGGTTTGTTTAGGATCAACATCTTTCCTTGAAAGGAAGACACAGTACATTTTATTAATTTAGTTTCTGGGAAAGAAATTGAGGGCTTAGTTTATTAAACCATTAAAGCTGGAATGTGATCTGAGGTTTCAGTTAGGAGTTGTTTTTTAATCAGTCCTGTTATTCTTTGCACTGCAGGAAGAATCAATTCAAGATAAACTAAAGAACATTAAGCTTTGAATTTCCATGTAAGATTTCATGATATCTTAGCTATGCCTGGGAGCACACATCGGTATTCCCAGCACTCAGGAGGCTGAGGCAGGACATGGAAAATGTGACTTCAAGACCAGCATGGGCTACACAATGAGACTGTCTCAGAAAGAAAGAAAAAAGAAAAGAGAAAGAAAGAAAGAAAGAAAGAAAGAAAGAAAGAAAGGAAGAAAGAAAGAAAGAAAGAAAGAAAGAAAGGAAGAAAGGAAGAAAGAAAGAAAGAAAGAAAGAAAGAAAGAAAGAAAGAAAGAAAGGAAGAAAGGAAGAAAGAAAGAAAGAAAGAAAGAAAGAAAGAAAGAAAGAAAGGAAGAAAGGAAGAAAGAAAGAAAGAAAGAAAGAAAGAAAGAAAGAAAGAAAGAAAGAAAGAGAGGAGAGGGAAAGAGAAGAGCAGACAGTGGAGAGGAGGGAGATACACAGATTTCAGGCAATCAGCCCTACAAGTTATCACTATATTGTGAAAATTCTAGAAAATGGGAACAATTGTTAGAAATCTGAAAGCCTACCTTTCTTTTCATCTTTTCCTTCTCTCTGGGGTGATGATTTAGATCAAAACCAAACAGAAACCTAAATCTACCCAAAGTAGAATAGGAAAAATGCAATATTTAGGTATTAAAATGTATGTTTTTAATACATTTGAAACACCTCTTCCAACACACTTCTATCTTTTCCTTGATGGGAATGTACTTGTGCTAAATAAATCTGTAAGATTTACTTGAATAAATGCTCAGCTCATTTCATGACAAAACAATCTAAAACTATTAGGTTACTCGAATGAAGTGATATTTAAGTTCTACTTAAAATTTCACTAAAAGATGACAGAATTTTTCTATGAAATTTGAGCAAACATTTACTTACACTCTATTGCTAACATTTTAAGTCTAACTAGAGTTTTTTCTCCAAGAATTTCTTCCCTTTTCTGTTTTCTTATGCTATTTACACATTAAAGGAAGCAAGCAAAACCCAAAACTCACTGTTTATAAATGTTTGTTAAAAACATTTTCAAAAAATTCTTATCCACTGGCATAAGGCATAGGAATTCTGAACCGGAGCTACAGGGTAATAAAACTTTATGTTTGGAAGTAAAGGGAGATTTTTAAAATATCATGGACCTAAATTTATATTTAGACTCTGTTTTCATCCAGGTAATTTCATATTATTGCCTGATGACTTTTTTTTTTTTTGAACCTGGAAGAATTATAAAACTGTCATGAACCCACAGAAACCAGTACCCTTTAACTTACTGTAAGCTTTTAAAGTTTGAGGTGGTTTTTGACCAAATAGTGCCCACCTGAGCAAACCACACAGATAGTCAGTGCAAATCCATTCAGTTTATGAAGTACCACAAGTCTATGGTGCTCAGAGGACACAAATAATTTAAATTTGATGCACACTAGGTGAGTACTTGAAATAGTACTCAAGTAGGGAAAGTGTTTGTTTAGAGACTCCTGGTCCCTAAATGCTCTTTCTCTGCAGATATTACTGGAAATTATTGATTCTACATTGGGTTCAGAATCAAAAAGTCTGAAGTGTTTAATGGAAGAATAGTTTTTAGGAGAAAATCTACTGGAAGGTGTTCCAAATTACAACAGAAAAAGCAGTGACCACAGCCAGGCTGAACTCTGTGAGATTTGGCCCTGGATGAGTGTTGTCAGGAGTGATGTGACCTGTGAATGTGGCTAGGGACATACATGCTGCTGACATTTGCTTAACTCACCTGGCCCATGTGACTGTCTCATATTCTTATCTAACAAAAAGCAACTACTATATATTTGCATTTACAGCCAACACCGCAGAATTTAACCTTACAGTAAGACAGTTTGACTTTACCCCACACATTCATAGCTCCAAAATCATACATCTCTACAAGACACAGATAAACTGACCTCAAATCTTTTGGGAACACTGAGCCCCTTAATTTCATGGAACATGATATACAGAACAGCAAGGAAAAGATTAGAAACCAGAGTGTTGATTGCAGGAAATATGTTCTTACAGGACTGCTTTAGTTTGTGCTTGGATGTGCCCTCAATGCCTCATGCAGTCATACAGATTGCTGAGTCTAAGTTTCTGATTGGTTCATTGTCTAGGGCTGGGATTTTCAGTGTGAATGCTGTACCTGCCCAGGGGTGGGGAGCTGGCATACAACATAAAGGAGGGAAGGAGCTGTGTTTTTCCCTTTAGGCCCTTTCACTCTTGTTGTTTGCAGCTGACATAAATGGTTTCCCCTCAGCCACACCACCCTGCCTTGGAGCCAGCTGAACACACAAACTGAGACCACAAATTGTATGTTAAATAAACCTTTCCTTCCTTCATTTTGGGCATCAAGTATTTTGTCCCAGCAATGTAAGAAAAGTACCCAAGACAGTGACTATGAAAGATGGTCTCAGATATCGGAGACTTCATGAAATATAACATCCTTTTTGATAAAACACAAGTTCTTTGCAGAGAAATATTGGTTTCTTGAGAAAACCATGAGAATTAGGTCTCACAAATTGGGAAACTTAAAAGGCCAATAATTATCTCTCTCTACATATATATATATATATATATATATATAATCTCTCTCTATGTATATAATAATCTCTATATATAATATATATAATTTCTCTATATATAGAGAAATTAGAGAGAGAGAGATGAAACAAAGAACCAGATTTCAACAATTCTAGCTTGATTTGCTTTTAAAATTGAAATGTGGTTGAGGGGACACATTTTTATAAATCGAGAATGAGAAAAGTTGTGGCATTAAAGAACTGAAAGCAAATACAGCAAACAGACCTTCCAGGGGGAGACAATCTCTTGCTCAAGAACCTCTGACAGCCTGATCATAGATGACAAAAGCCCCACACCCCTGTTGTAAGCCACCAAGAGATCACAAGCCAGTGGAGAAAACGCAATAGCAGTAACAGAGAAACTAACATGCTTAGAAAAAATAGAGAAATTAGAACTTTGGAAAAAAATTCAGTGAAAACAAGTGAGAAGATGAAATTAGAGTATGGGTAAACATCTGGAATCAAAAGAAATGATGGCAAAGATTTTTTAAAAGCTTACACAGGAACTATAAAAGTGAATAATGACAACAAGCATGTAACTGCTGACCTGGGGATAAAGTGAGGAGTCAAACCCATGCCTTCCTATGAGGCAGCCAGCACAGGGCTGGGGGATGAGAAGAGTTTCCCACCCTACTCCAGCCCCTGCCATGAGCAATAGCTGATTCGGAGGAACATGGGCTGAGATGATAGCAACTGAGGTAAAAACAACAACTTAATGCTTGTATTGTTTGATTGAAATTGTAGGCCTAAAGCCAGTAGTCTGAGCATCTACTTAGAGGATAACACTATGCAATATAGCAACAATGGGGAATTTCCTTCTGTCTTGTTTTTGAAATGCAATGTTTTGTTCCACCTTATTGTTTTGTTTTATTTCCCTTAAAATAAAAAAAAAAAACAATAAAGTGAAAGAATCTCACATACACTAAACTAAAATACAAAGAACTAGAAAATGTACTCACTTTCCATAAATATTAATAATACATCTTCCTTCTTTGTCAGGTATTATCATAGATGCTAGCAAGATGGTGGGGATTCAAAGCAACAAAAATCCCCAACCTGTGGGGCCTTTGTTCCAGTGGGAGAGCACACAACAAACACGACAAATAAAGGTTAGTGTTATGGATTGAGAACTGGTGGTCAACTTAACGCCAGCTGGATTACATCAGCATGCATTGATTGAAGATGCTCCACATGAGGAGGGTTGCCAGGATAAATAGGTGGAGAAGAAGGGAGGTGTTGAGAGGGTTGAATAGTTAAGGAGGCATTGTGGGTTCTCCGAGTTGCT